CATGAGTCCAGGCCAGCAAGGGAGGGGAACTTCCCGCCGCAGCGCAGCGGCGGCAGGGCGGGCGCAGCGATCCGCACAGCGCGCATGCGGGCCGCCACCGCCACGCAGCACGCCTGCGCCCCACCTCTCTGAGCGCGGGCGCGTTCCAGTTGATTTTGTCGGTCAGGATGGACTTCCACACCTGCTGCAGCGTGCAGTCGCGCACATTGTCCCAGAACGGGAACTTGCCTGCGCACGGGGGGCGCGGCGCGGCAGGGGGACGGCGCGGGGGGTCGGCAGGCGCTCCATCTGCCCCTCCCCGCCTGCCCACCCTCCCGCATGGCTCCAGCAGCTGCTGCCGGCTGCCTGCCCTGCGCACCACGAGAGGCGCCCCGCCACACACGCAAACACACAAGAGGGAGCGCCCCCCGGAAAAGAAAACAACAAAAAAGCCGCGGCCCGCCGCGGCCCGCCGCCTCACCGGTAAGCAGCTGGTACATCATGATGCCCGCGCTCCACACGTCGGCCCGCTCGTCGTACGACTGCTGGATGACCTCGGGCGCCATGTAGGCGGGGGTGCCGCTACGCGACTTGAGGGGCGGGTCCTCGGGGCGGTGCCGGATGGACAGCCCAAAGTCGGTGGCCTTGACCGGGGAGTCCATGTCCTGCGGGGCAGGGAGGAAAGAAAGGAGGGGGGAGGAGGGGAGCGATGAGCAGCAAGGAGGAGGAGGGGGGGGATGAGCAGAAGGGGTGTGGGGGAAGAGAGGGAGGTGAGGTGGCGAGGGCCGGCGGGGCGAGCAGGGGGGCGGCGGCGCGCAGGACAGGACAGGTGCGCGTCCGCTGCAGGCCCTCGCCCTGGGGCTTCCAGCCCAGGCTTTGGCCGTGCCGGCATGAAGCAACCCCGCACAGCAGTGCAGGCGGCAGCACAGGACAGGGAGCAGGCACATGCGCACGGCACACTGCTGCACGCGCTGCGCCAGCCGCGCGGCTGCCCCAGCCGCGCTGCTGCCAGCCGGCTGCCCAGCCAGGGTGGGCATCTCCCCGTGCGGTGCACGCAACCCGACCTGTTGGCCTGGCGAGCCCAGCCCCAGAGCTTCGCCAAACCGTAGGAGCGGGTTGCGTGGGGAGGCCTGCAGCCAGCAGGCACGCCACACCACGCAGGCAGGCAGGCGGCGCGCCAGCTCAGCGAGCCAGCCAGGCGGCGGCGGTACGGGCGGTACGCCCTGTGTACCTTTCTGGTGATGTACTTCCACACATGCAGGCTGCTGGCTGGCAGGATGTTGCTGCTGAAACACCCGCCCCCTGCCGCCACGCCGCCGCTGGCTGGCAGCTCCGGCTCGGAGCCGTCGCCGTCTGAAGCTGCCGAGTAGCTGCCGGAGCCGCACAGCGAGGCGGCAGACTCCTGCGCGCTCTCCAGCTTTACCTTGGTGACTAGCAGGAAGTTGTCTGCGGGTGGGGGAAGGAGGGAGGGCAGGGCAGGGCGCGTCAGCAGCTGCGGGCACTACGGGCCCACAGGCAGGCAGGCAACGAACACTGCTGTGCACAAGCACAGCACAAGTGCAGGACCACACTCCCCACGCACCGGGCTTGATGTCGCGGTAAATCAGGCCCTTGGCGTGGCACTGCGCGGCAGGGCGGAGAGACACACGCATGTGGGGCACACAAGCGTCAGCAACCAGCGACGCAGGCGGGAGTGCCAGGCCAGCGGCGGCCGGCACGGCGCAGGGCGCATCGGACGGCCGGCAGCAGCCCCGGCGGGAGCGGCTGCCGCGAGGCGGCAAGGTGACGCCGCGGGCGGGAGGCCAGGCCAGGAGCTCAGGCC